GCTCTTTTCAAAACATGGGCTTGCGCAATTGCACGAGGTATGTCGGCGGCAGTAATGGGGATACTTCGGATAGCGTTCGAGAGTTGCTACCGAACGTCGTCCTCGGCGGTAACTGCGGCAATCACGGTGTCTTCTACTGAGACGTGTTTTTAAATCTGGCGGGAGAGGCGGTCGGCTTGACTAAAATCCTGAGTACGGCAGTAGCGGATTTCGAAGTCGTAACCAAGAAGGATGACTGTCTAACGCTGAAGTCGGCTAGCCGAGTATGCGGGAATGCCCTTCTTTGAACCGAAGCTTGAAATTAAGGGATTGTGATCGGTTAATAGCGTGACCCGCCGGCCATATAGCATATTGTAGAATTTGGTAACGATAACGACGATGGCAACGGCTTCCTTCTCGATCTAACCATAGTTATTCTCCGCAGGTGTCAGGGTACTGGAGACTTGTATAACACCTTTCTCGAAACCATTTGGGAGTCGACGGGAGAGGATTGTTCCGATCCCGTGGGCAGAAGCAACAGCAGCGACCAAAATCTGCAAGGTTGGTTCATAATGGGTCAACAGTAGGTCAGCGCTCAGCATGGCTTTCAGGCGAATGAAAGCTTTCTCGCATGCCAGAGGCCAGTGCGAAGGAACATTCTTCTGCAGAAACCGATTGAGCTGGGCTCGAACATCGTGTAGCGATGGCAGGAAGGCGCTGCAGTAACTGATGAGACCCAGGAAGGACGGCCGTTGTGACACATCCGCTGAAGCTGGCATCTGCTGGATGGCTCTGACGTTCTCAGGATCAGAATGGCAACCATCGGCATCGAAAGTGCACCTAAGGTATTTGCTCGACGAAAGGAAACATTGGCATTTCTCTGCTTTCAGGCGGAAACCGTACTCTTGGATCGGTTGAAGGACTGCAGCCAGGCGCTCTCGAATCACTTCTGGGGTGCGACTAACAATGGGTAGATCGTCCAGGTACGCGGCCGTACGCGGAACGGCAGAGATCATAGCGTCCATCGTCTGCTGGAAAATGGCTGGAGCCGTTTTGGCACCAAACGGAAGCCTGGTGTACTGGAGAAGACCCCGATGCTTACTAATTGTCAGGAGGGCTTGTGACTCAGGAGCAACCTCGTTCTGCAGGTAGACGTCTGCGAGGTCTACTTTTGCGCATCACGTGCCCCCGTTGAGTATTGTGAAGAGGTCGGCTGGGATCGGTAGTCGGTAGCAATTTGGCTCTAGTGCTGCGTCGAGACGGTCGAGAAATCGACACAGATGCGGAGGGATCCATTCGGCTGCTTAACCACGACGAGCGGCACTGCCCAGGCGGAATAGGATACAGGCACCAGGACGCCCATGTCTTCCAAACGTTGGACTTAGGCATCGACCAAGGGTAGGGCTGTGTATGTAACAGGCGTTTTGGGACGGAATACCGCTTGAGCACCATGTACAAGCTGTAACGCGGCGTGAGTGCGTGCACAGCGGCCAACGCCGTCCTGGAATACCCGAGCAAACTGCCTGATGATGTCGTTAATTCGGTCGTTTGCTACTGTCGGAGAATGTACCGCGTTGCAGACGGCCCGAAGCGGAAGATCGGCCAAGCCAAGGGTTTCGAGCTAGTCGAGACCAACCAGGTTGAGCTTCGCCTTTATGATGTAGCAGATCGCGTGGCGCCCCGGAAGGAGACGGAGCAGTGCAGCTGACCAGTTAGTTGCACACGACCATCACAGGCGCTGATGGCACGCTGGGAGGTCTGTTCGAACGGTGGCTTGACAAGGGATCGCCAGAGATCCTCGGAGATAATCGTGATGTCCGACGCAGACTCCAACTACAGTCGGACGGACTGACCGTTGATCAAGACGTCGGCGAATTTTCTCCGATCCGCAGCTTTGATTTGGAATGTGGCCAGCAGGCACAGGGAGCTGCCAACCGGACCAGGCTTGGGTGTGCGTCTGGGTCGGGACCTCTTTTTGGTTCGCGGGTTGGGGTCAGTCCAGTTTTGGCCCCCTTGGGAGATGTGGGATGGCAGTAATCATCCCTGTGTCTCAGTCTGCCACAACCTTGACAACGATGATGGCGGCAATTGCTGTCCCGGTGGAAATGCCAGGCACCAACGAATCGGCACGCGTACGGTGGGGACTTCGCTCGGTCAGAGTGGGTGGGACGCGCGGATGATTGCGTCCTCGGTGCTGCGACTGCCTGGACCATACCAAGTGCGGCGGCGTTCTGGATCATGGCAGAACCATGCTCCAGGTTGAGCAGAGTTTGACACTCCTCGGCCAGGTTCTGGAGTGTGACCGAGCTATCCTGTTGTAACTTGGACAGGAGGCGCGTCCGGATATCGGCAACTTGTGGAAGCTGGAGGCCAGAGAGGAAAATCAAGCATTTGAATTGGTCCTCGGTGAGTGCGCTATTTTGCAAAAGTTGGCATTCATGGTTGACCACGTCCGCGTACTTGAAGAACTCGTCGGCATCACGCTTGGCCAGCTGTAGACATTGATAATGAGCATCGAACAGGGAGGACTGCTGGCCAAAAATCTGGGACAACGTTCTGACCGTCTCGTCAAAGGTGTCGCATGGGTTCCTCGGTAAGATGAAGTTGGTGTAGTGTTGGTGTTCAAGCGCACCAAGTTTGAACAGAAGCACCCGGACTTTCCACGCGTCGTCCTAGCTTGCCAATTCCATGGTGAACAGGTCATCGTACCGCTTATACCAAGATTCAAACTTTAACCCGGCCTTGGTATCGTACAGAAATTTGCTGATGCCCCTAACCACATGGTCCATTGACTGAGAATTAGCAGCTGGACCTGCATGAAGGGAACAACTGGAGAGTATGTCGGTTATGACGGACATCAATTTAAATTGTTGCTGCAGCATAAGTTTTAAATCGGCGTACTCGTTAGTCATGGTTCGCAAACTCAGTCGCCACTGTTATAATTGAGGGAACGTAAAGGGTCGGTTCGATCTCCTTTAAAAGCTGAGGTTGAAAAGGTTTGGGGCCTACAGTCGACAATACCTGCGCCTGCGCGGTGGTTTTATAATCTCATATTTGATGCTAAGAAATTCAAACAATGCTTGAAGTCATCTTCTGAGGCTGAATCACAATACCACTGAGAGCTCACCTGAAGACCGAAGGATATAGCCGGTTAGAATGCCGCCAGCATTTCTTTTCACTTCACAAGTGCCAACCATGAAACGCCCTCCCCACTTACGTTGTTTCTTCCCCCACACTAACGGTATTCAATATACGTCTCGACGATGCACTCAAACATATACACTATGTCATCTCATCTTTTATACCCGGGCGTAAACCTAACACAACAAACCAACGTGCGCATTTCCCTTTCAACCTACCAGTTAATAAACGCTACTATTGTGGAAATTGGATTTACCTAACCCGTCGGCCCAAGAAAACTGCACACGAGTAAGCGTAGTCATTTCCAGTATTTATTTTTCTTCACGGATTACGTGAACTATGACCGCTTTCCATATTTCTTTACGTGCGCACATTCAATTCCCACTTCAAACTATCATTATACAGCGGTGCAGTTAGATCTGTTTTCGTTTAAACTAACGATTTTACTTAACCTTTGATCTATTGCAACCCAACCATCCTACGGGACTTTTCAAGCGCTTGCATTTTACGTGTGATGAATCATATTGCAATGGTCATTCATCATAAAAGACTATACAAGAATTCTTTGAAATCGTTAACAATTTTGAAAAACATGATAAATTTGAAAGATAATCTAAAGTAATCAGCTCTGTGCTACAGAATCAGGACGTAGGGTTCGTACTTTTGGCTCTTAAGAGTACGCGATATCTATTCAAACAATAAATGAGATGGAGTACATCATTGTAAAGTGGAAGCATCATTCCCGTTCCTGAGTAGTAGATTACACCGCCAACCGATCATTTCGCATTTTATCCGGCTGTCTGCCACCAGTAGTACTAAAGATGACTAAAATTGTTTAAAATAAAATTTTTGGTTAGTTTTTCTGTTCGCTTTAGCCAGTTCGTTGTTGCTGCTAGGAAGATTCCCCAGAGAAGATTTAAAAACAGCCGCCGTGTTTATTCCTAAAGCAAACTGTCTTAATTAACAGGTGCTTTGGAGGTTACACCTAGGTATTATAATGGTTAACTGCTAGTTAGTTTCGTTCACTGAATATTCTACTGCATTTTTTGTGTCAAATCTGATGCACATTAGCGATTGATAACCATACGGTAAGAATAGTTGCGCGGAGAAGCATAGTAACATGTGATCTGAAGGTACCGTAAATCCAATGGCATGCGTACACACACACATACACAAATATTATTGCATAACTGCCGCAGTGATGAAGTCGTATCAGCTAGCGGCAAGCTCGATAAGCATGCCAACGTTCACTTCGACAGCAATCATCTGTGTCTGTTTTGGAAGGCGCGTTGTACAGAATATGGAATTGCCACATGTCATCGCGTGCCAGCTCCACGGTTGGCATGTGCTCCGGCAGCTGTAGTTTCGATTAGTTAGTGCTTTGAAAGAATGAAAAACTTAGAAAGAGACAGCCAACTAGAATGAAGTCTGTCCCGTGGGACTATTGACTTGACGAATGCTATCTTACCATTGGAACATTGATAGATGATTCGCTTTCTTGCAGTCATTTACTGGGTGCAAGACAGGCTTAATGATGCATGATCTAGGCGATAATGTTGATCTTCAAACTCTTCAGGAAGAAACTTGTCCAACAAACGGTGCTGAAGGTGGAAAACTAATGCACAGCATCAGGTTGTCTACAACACATTAGGAAAATTATTATGAGAGATCATGGCTTATTTTTGGGTATCAGATTACCTGCCAAATGCCTTGGTCGTGACGCAATTTCGATTGAGTCTCGGAGCTACTCTCTCTCTCTCTCGACAGTGCACTCCAGTACTGCGAGCGATCAGCTCCAAAACTTTCTACATCGTGAATTAATTTTTCGGTCATTACACTCCCAACATTCACAGATTCATTTGACGGAAAAGATGACCCACCGGCCAAGTGAATCCAGTCATGAAGGGGTCCTGCGAATCAAATCCAGCTAGGGCAAACCTCATGTTCTCCACGACAGCATAAGTATCATCATCCGCTTTGTAAACATAATCGTATGGAAAGTCCACGCGAGCCACAATCGGCCATATTTGTCTCATTTTGCGCCACAATTGACTGCGGCCTTCTTGAAACGAAACGTTCGCATCTGATAAGGTGTGGAAAATAGTGGGGAGGCGTACGAAGATTGCACCCGTTACAAGTTATACGGAGAACAAAAGAAAAAGTGGAACAATGACAAACAACCTTGAGCGGGAAAGAGGACAAATAGTAACTAGTTTCGAGGTGGGATCCAGTTGTACAGCACATGTTGAACGGATACACCACAGACAAGAAAGGTCCACGAGTCAGTGGACAAAGTATGTTATTCACATTGGCAGAAATGTAAATTTGCTATTTTCGTGTTACGAGGAGAGGCCGGTAAGTCTAGAGATTTATCGCATTTTATCGTTCCTCGGTGGACTTCAGTCATACCATTTAACGGAAACGACATAATATTTCATCCAGTAGTTTTCTTAACTTCACACCACGTGGGCACCAAGCTAGCACATGTCCTAAGAACTTTTCAAGCCGACACAACCTCATGAAACATTTCGGTGACATTGCGGCGGGCTATAGTGTTTGGCTTGCTTCAACTGGTAAACCCTCAGGTTGGCATCGTGGCTACCTTAGAAATGGGGGTGAACGCGACTGGCGTATTTCAAGATTACCAAGTGAGTATGAGGTCATCTCGCGAGAAACATTACATTTCAGCACATTCTGTAAGGTTTTCCAGTCAAAGTAGATGTGGGAGATGGAACAAGCACATTCATTCTTATTGGTATTTGCTAATCACTTTGCGGATAGCATAATGTATGCGTAGCTTCCAAAATAACCCATGACTCCATAATAGATAAAAAGATGTGGACAACTCATGTATCTCATGGGTAGAATGTTTGTGCATCTCCTTGATCACATACAGCCAAACCCGCTTTATTGCCCAGTTTTTCAAAATACAAATTATTTTCCAATGAATAGGCTAAATTTTCATCGTCTAGTTGCCCATTACCGGGGTCGTCCCACCACTTAATTGCCCAGCTGCGTAAGCTGTGCTCTTATCAATTTGTCAAATTATACACTCTCCTTGACTCTTTTATTAAGAGTGCCCCACACTTAGCCTAGTAAGATCGAGTCAAGAACAACAAAGATGTCGGTGGCGTTAGAAAAAAGAAAGATAGAAAATGAAAAGCAAATAAGTAATGTTTACCTATGTCATTCGATGCACGAGCAAGCTAATTGTACAGCCGGATGTGGGCAAACCCTCGGCCCTATTCAAAATTCGAGAACTCCGCAAAATCGGGTAATCTGTCCGCTTCACCTTTGTCACTACTCTATTGGTTTCACACAATTTATCAAGTAACAGAAAGGATTTTTACTTGACAGAAATGTTGGAGGTTTTGGACAAATTAAAACATATCCACCAGGAGCCTTATAGGCCAAATGGAGGCGTGATTTACAGATTTCTCGTTGTACCCTAGTCAGGTTGATTGTCAATGAAAAGGAACTCCGGCAGAATTTTCGCATGGCACTGCATGCTGTCAGAAAAGGAAGCGCAGTGGAAAGGATGAAGAAGCAACTGCATTGCAAAACTGGATGTTCTCGGTTCGTGAGCACAACCAAACTGTTACAAGCATGCCTCTGAAGAACAAGGCAGAAGAATTCGGCAAAGGACTTAGAAAAACCTGTGCTGTCACTGAAGGATGGTTGTAAACATGGATGAATAGAACTCAAATTGTGTATAAACATGCACGTAGTGAAGAAAGTCCCGCGGACAGAGCAGTTTGTGAAAAGTGGCTGAATGATGGACTGCCTGATCTTTTAAATGCTTTTTAAGTTAACAACGTGTACACTACAGATGAAACAGGTCATTTTTACCTAGTAACTTCAGAGGGCTCTTTGTATTTTGCTGATGACAAGCGCAGCAGTAGAAAAAGCCATACTTAGGACCACTTTTCAGTGATGCGCGAATATGTCAGGCACGTATAAAAAAAGCAAATTAAGAAACGAGGGAAATATTTAGGTGTTCTCCTCACAACACTGGCTTGAACCTACACTTCCGTGACTTACAGAGCTAACAAAAATGTGTGGATATTAAAAGCACTTTTCACCGAGTGGGTCCTCATATGGGACAAGGGGCAATGCGAAATTGGTCTAAAAGTTATGTTGCGCTTGGATAAATGCAAAGTACGTCCACAGGTAGAAGGAATGAAAGACATTCAAATGGAATTTTTGCAGGCAAACACGGTCAGCATTCTTCAACCCATGGACCAAAGTCTGATTATAAAACTGAGAAACAGTTAAAGAAAGGAACTTGTGTACCGAATTTCTTGTCAGGTCGAAAACAACGTGTTATCTGGCTCAGCATAGGCAGCGGGTGTTAACGCCAAAGATTTCTGCGCACAATGCAATTAAGTTCTTACCAAAAAGTTGGAGACAGTTTACCTGTGCAAAAATAAAAGCCTGCTTTCGGCATACTGACTGCAATCGACTAGAAGCCAATGCAATTTCTGATGACCCCGTCATAGCTGAAGACGAAATCAGCGCTTGCACAATCCAATTCATGAATTCAGGAGAGTTCGTCGCTATTGACATCGAGGTGGAATGCACCTCAGACATGACAACTGCTTACGATGAAATCGTCAGTAAAATTTTAGAGAACCGACTAGAACAAAAAGAAGGCAGTGACTAAGAGGATGATGTGTTGGATGCCTCCCTGAGTAACAGCAATCAGCGCGCGTCGCAATCAAGGACAAATAAATGTGTGCATGATCTGTGCAGCTAGGGACTTTTGCATGGGCAGGGTAACGATTCCTTACCCCAACTGGATTTCATCGGAGCAAGAGAGACTGGAGTATCTGCACGAAATAATGTACAAACGAAGTTGGACTTTTCTCAGCGAAAATAAAAAGCAGGGCCAATTTCTATAGCTATCCAGGTAAGATGATTTATGCTATAACTTTTAAATTATAGGTCATGCTCTTCTGAATAAACGTTTTTTAAGGCTTCATTTAAAAGTAAGCGTTTATCTTTCTTAGCAGGTTACCATTCAAGGGATACACTGTACAATAATTCAATGGTAGCCCACTCCGCTTTATCGCCCACTTTTGAGATATCCCGATGGTGGGCAATAAAGCGGGGTCGGCTGTATGCGCTGTAAACAGAACCCGTACAGGAATTGCGTTGCCTGATAATACTACTAAGACTCTTAGAATAATGCGGTACTAAGGAGCCCGGTAAATTCTGAATTCATAAGAGATAAATTATAAAAAAATAAGTATAGCAAAGGCTACGGGATAGCACAAGCAAGTATACAACAATAGAACAATACTTATTATCACATGTTCTCAAGTTTGAACTAAATATACATCCAAGTGAAAATCATTTTCTACACAAGCAGTCGTTGTTATGGTAGATAAAAACAAAGGAATTCTGGGTGAGTATTTGTCTTTAAAGCTTAGGTGTTCCGTTCATGTTACGCTATTTCTTCTCCTTACCGATCACCTGCTTACTATGAGAATCCGTTGAACTACCGGCAATACAATGTATTCACGATATCTGGGGTGATGGGAGGCTAACCTGCCTCCATGCAAATTATAAATTGGTAATCGTGCAGCGCTGCTTGTGAAAATGTGTAGACAGATTGAGCACAACTTATCAGAAGATGGAGGTGGTATAGCGAAGCCACACATCAAGGTTACAATCGTGCGGACACAGCTCTGATCGGATACGCGACGCCAAGTGATGGGTATTTAAGTGAATCCCTATGAAACAGGTCACACATATTCGCAACATAATCCGATGCGCGAAATCTGAAAACAATGACGGAAATAGACGAAACACATTACCAATCGAGAAAGCCCCAACTAGCTTAAGCTCAAACCACTTCCTTCCTCGCTGCGCAGTTATGTGCAATGAACTATCGGCGACTTTGGGAACGTGTGACTAAAACTGGTTTACTGCACTCTACTAAACAGAGAGTTGACAGTGAATAAATTGTGTGACCTGCTCAGCAAATATTTGAGTTTAGCCACGCTCTATGAGGCAAGACCCAGCGCTATAGCATAACCAAATTTCACTGATTCGTCAAGTCATTCAACCTTCAAAACGTCCAACTGCTCCGCCGAAGCAACAAAGCACAAGGAGCTCTTGACAAACTGCGTTCACAGATGCATTTGAAACCTGAGTTTGCCTTCAGTTACTTTCGTTTTACACGCTTTTCTGTGCTCAGAGATTCACCGTAGGACGTTGAGAACTATGCGCAACAACAGTAAATTGTACAGCCAGCTCCACCCTGCATTCTGCTCTTGCTGTGCTTAGTCTGACAGTGTGCGGTGCCACTGATTCAAAACAACTGCACTGATATGTCTTAGAGTCACGGGCTTAGCTACAGGTACCGGTCCTTTGCTACTTCCCACTACCCTGCACTCACTTTTCCATATTATAAACTTACGTTACAACTTTCCTGTCCACCTATAAGTTGAAGAATGAGACAATTTGATATGCTTTTCTAATTCTTATTTTTCTGCTATTAGCTTTTCTTTATTGTTTGAGCTATGCGCGCCTTATCATTGGCAATGGTGAATCAAACCCCAGTGTATTAGTCAGAATCTTCGGGCTCCACTTCCGTATATCTCACGCCTCCTATTTGTAAACAATGGCATCTATTGAAATGCTCTAGTTAACACATCTGACCTTTCTCACATAATGATGCGTAATTTCTTTCCATGGGTTGGAACGTGCCATAAGATTCGCAGTAAAACAAAGTAGAAAAGCCGAAGGGCGAAGCGAATTAGTGTCGCCGATCAGGAAGATAGCACTGAATTCAAGTCTCGTGAACAAGAGGCAATGTTCAGGCATTGTTCGCTAGTGATCAACCTGACTGATGCTCTGGTGTCGATTTCCACGCGCACTGGTTGTCCCTCTATGTCCAACTTCACAGTATATAGGGGTATCACTATGATATGAGATGTGGTAGTGTGTGATATTAAGTACGCTGTGGACGCCTCAGAATTTTCCAGTGAATGTACAGTGTTTTTTGCAGGGCGGGGTACCGATCACTGGCAAGATGTCAAACTTTGCCGCAGTTGTGACAGGGAGCTAGCTTGTGTT